AAAAGAATGAGATGAAGTAAGAAAGAAAATTTACATCTGTCTGAGATAGAACTGTCGGCAGACACGGATGGTCCGACCTAGAAGAGAGGCACCTGAGCCAATGACGGCATCCATTGCAGCCTGGCCTGCGCGAGTCATACAGAGTGCCTGCTCAACGGCCGCCACGCTGGCCGAGGCGGCTACGCCCGGGTCGTCACCTGGTGTCGCGGGAGCACCAGAATGCACAGTGGCTGCCATAACAGATTGAAGACCTCCGTAAAGACTACCCCACTCAGTGAAAAGTGAGTGACGATCCTGTACGCCATGCAAAGTTGCTTGGATTTTAATTACGTAAGTATATCTTTGCAAATAAAAATTATCCACATTTTATACCAAAATAAGTACCTAAAAAACAACCAATATCTAACCACCAACACAATGCATGTGCAATTGGCCAAAACAATAAAGCGATGTTTGGTTAAATCCAGCAGAGAAATCAACCTCTAGGTTAATTGTGTAGCAAGATGGCATCGATTGCAACGATATAAGACAAACTAGTATTTCATCAACATAATTAGGGCCTAATAACAAATCTAATTTGTAAATACCAATCTAGATGCTTAGGCACTCATTACAATGTTCATTTTGTAAACCATGGGTAGCAAATGCAGGCAAATGCGCGTATTAGAGGCCTAGAAGCCTTGGCAAAAGTCCTATTACTTAGTCTCGACAAGTTAAAACAAATGTTTTGAGGTACATACTTTATCCAGCATCCAATTCTATCAGCCTTTTTGAAGTGACTGTACCTCCCAAAAAATTTGAGTTGGTAAAGTGCATGAAAGCTTCGGGGAACTTTCAAAATAACCATTGTGTCTAAATATGGAGTAAGGTAAATTTACTGTGAATTTCTGCTAGTGAGATTCCAGAGGAATACAGAATTTATACAGTCTCCGCTTCTGTTTCGTTATAGCTTAAGCCCTAAGAAGACGATTATCTTAAGGCGGAACTATTCTGTTCAATAACGCTATTTTCCTCACCTATGATTTCGAAAATCGGGAACTTAATAGCAAGGATTTAATAATTTGCAGTGGATAATCGCTAGTAAAGACCATAAAGCATTCAGTTTTCTTGGCTCAAAAGCGTACAAGCAATTGGAATGAATTCGTAAGTTGGCGTCACCTGAAACCGAAGGGTATTAGACCTGGAGCTATGACTAGATTGACACGGGTAAATCCTAGGGCCACCGTCCCGCGGCCCCGAGTAATCCTTGCTAAGCTGTTTATCGTCATTTGACAGACGCCGTCAGAGCAGGACACAATGCTTCACGATAATTCGCCAAGCTTAAAAACAAGAAAGGTGACTAGCTGAAATCCTACCTACTTCTTACAATCTAACTGCTCACTTAATATTATAATATATATATTATTATATTATATATTATTATATATATTATAATACATATATTAATATTACATATTATGATTTGGTTGGATATCTTATGCACTTCTTGTATGCTTGTTAAAAAGCGAAGTGGCTGCAGATGAGGCGTTAAATGAATTCAATTTTTCGTACTTAAGTAGAGTTTCGAGACTACCAGTAAATCAGTTATATGAGATGTACTCACCTTATTTTGTTTAACGTGATAAGGACCGATAGTAGAATTTTCCCACAAAGATATGAGTAGAGTTGACGTTTCAATTGAATTTCACAGAGCCTTGCCTTCCCAAAAGTTGTTCTCACCCAGAGTGGACCTCGCATAGGTCTTATCAACACCACCAGAAGGAGTCGAACCGTGACAGTACAGAATATGAGCTTGATACGTTAACCACCCGGCCTCATTGCCCTTGGGTCACAGAGCAGATGTGAATTTGAAGGAAAGCCAGGACTTTTCTCATATCACATTCGTTGGTGGGATTGTCGATGAAGCAAACATATTGGTGCTAGAGCAATCGACTACATTAGTTATTTTTCGTATATTCTACTACCAGTCTTTCATCACATTAAACGAAATACATCTCATACAACTGATTTACTGGTAGTATCAAAACTCTACTTATATACGAAGAATAAGTAATATAGTTGATTGTTATAGCAAAAATATGTTTGCTTCATCGACAATCCGGCCAAGGAATGTGATATGGGAAAAGGCCTGGCCTACCTTGAAATTTACATTTACCCTCTGACCCAAGGGCACTCCCGACAGGGTAGTCGAGTGGTTAATGTATCAAGCTCAGATGCTGCACTGTCACGGTTCAACTTCCACTGGGGGTGTTGATAAGACCGATGCGAGGTCGAAACTGCAGTTCACTCTTTATGAGTACAACTTTTGGGAAAGCAAGGTTATGTGAAATCCAATGAAAACTTCATCTCTACTCATATCATTGTGGGCAAATTCTACTACTAGTCCTTCATCACATTAAACGAAATAGGGTGAATACACCTCATATAACGGATTCAATTTTAACAGGACAGCGCCGATGACCAATTGGCACAAATATACAGTCACAGCTCCAAGGCTTCTGGGGAGGCCGACTTACGAATACCTTCCACTCACTTATTCAAACGAAATGAAAGGTTGTTCAACATCAATCTTTTGAGGGATTTTTCCCAAACCAATATTTATATACATGTACAAACAATTGTTTCCAGGAGCGCCTAGTAATGCCACGGAGTATTTATCTTTCGTCATGTGCTACCACTAGGAAATCATTCATGTCTCGCGGCGTTAATGAGTTGCAAACATTTAATCCTTGCTTCTACCCAATTAAATGTAATACTCTTCAAATAAAGAAACAAAGCTACACCTGACATATTGGCGCAGTGGCAATACGGCCAGCAGTGCCGCCGCCAGCAAGGCTGGCCCAAGTGCCCGCAGTTCCAGAACCCGGAACCCTACCAGAGCCGGAACCAGTTGCGTTGCTAGCTGCGGCCACAGCATCCATCCCTGCCGCGACCCAAGCAGCCGCTGCGGGACCTGCGAAACCCGCGACTGCTGCAGTAGCAATGGCCACAGAGGAGGCTGTTTCCGCAGTTGCGGCGAGTGGGCTGACAGCAGCCACAGGGGCTGAAGCAGGAGCATGGATGGGGGCGGCAGCTGGTGAGATGCGCTGCATTGGAAATACCAAAGCGCCGGCAGCGCGGAGACGAGCAGGCACTTGAACAGGACAGGTTGAAGGCTGCGGTAAGCTAGCCAAGTTTGGCCAGGCTGAACGATGTATGCGAGCCAGCAGGCGATGTAGCTGCACAGCCAAACAGCATGAGGCATCCTCGAGGCCTGGCGGCGAAGTAGGGGCTGAGGTCAGTGTAGAGGCCATAGGTTGAGCTCCTTGAGGCTCAAATGAGGAAGCGATTGCTCCTAAAGCCTGTGAGCTAGTCGCTTGAGCCGAGGTCGAGCGAGAGAGAGCGGCCAGAAGACAAGGCCGCTTTCGCGGAATCGTTGAACGACCAAAAGGCAGCAGACTAGAACCGGCGGTGTTTGAGGCCCTCTCTTCCCCTGCTTCCTCTTCATTAAGTTCCTCTGTTTCCTTGTCTTCGTCACATGAAAAAGGGGACCGTCTATTCTTCCACAAACTGACAGAGATTTGAACCCCAGGAAAAATGGTAGCCAAAATCTCGTCCTATTGTTTTTTTTAAATAAAATGTAGATAAGCATTGAGTTGTATAGGAGTTTAAGTATTAAGAAATCTTATGTAAAAGTGCAAAAACAGCGTACTCAAGTAAAATAGAAGTTACGAATCGTCCTCTTATGCTACCTATAAATGAACTTATTGTTATTACAAACATAGAACTACTTCTCAAAAGACCATCCTCTGACTCGGATAGATTAGTACTGAACATTAATCTATCTTAGAAGGTATGAAGACTAAGATAGTGTGGCCTTTTGCATGGCCGCGGTCTCCTTTCGTTATATAGTAGTTGTTTGACCTTGTTTTCAGAAATTGGTCATTTTAGCAGGAAGACGTTGTCGGAAGTAGTCCATAGTACGCATGAAAATGTTCAGTCGGACTGTGGGCTTGGTGCATTCCCAGACGTTATGCCGGCATCGTCAGTGAGCTTTGCCATTGTTAGCGCAGTGCTACGATTCGTCAAAGAGACAAGCGAAGTCGATCCCTTGGCAAATTGTCTGCCTATCCTATATCCTCTTATCACCCCTTCACTATCACAATTTCTTAGTTGTTTATCAAAGCCTAGTTTCTGCAGTCTTTCGTGTTTCTTGATTCGTATACTGATTTTTCTTACCGTTTCACCAATATACTTCTGATCGCAGTTGTCGCATTCGTTGCGGTGAACTTGCGAGCAGTCCATTTTGCCAACCTTCTCGTGTTGCGTCGGCAGGCTGGTGAAGTGTTGTTTTGTCCTTTGTTATCACCTTGAAATGCCATTGTCCCAGTAACGGTGGTAATTTTTGGCTCAGTTCAGAGGGTAGGGCAGACATATCCACTTTTCGTCGCACTCTCGATTCCTGATTCTATTTTCATAACATCCTAATTGAAATCTGCTTCTTATGATCCCTATATTTTTCTCTATATATTCTCCAGGGTACCAATTACTAAAGAATACCCGAGTCAGTTTGTTTAACTCTTCGTCCCAGAACTCCATCTCCGTTAGTGTTTAGCTTCTGATTATCAAACTCCTCCGTATTCCGATATTCAGTCTATACTGGAATTCTGGAATACTGGAAATTCAGGACTATTCCCGAATGCCATTCCCTTTTTAATAATCTCCAGAGTGTCCCATTGGAGCGCATGACCTCAACATTCCGGAAGGATAGTAGTTCATCCTCTCTCATCTCCAGTGTGAATTTAATTCTTCCATCAAGTTGGCTTATAGAGTAGAATAGTTTATCAAAATCTTTGTTACCAGGCGACCAAAATGCAAAGTAGTCATCCAGGTATCGCATAGGCACTTTTGGTTGCAACGGTGACTACTCGAATTTTTTCTTCAATTTATCAATGTATACATTTGCCAAAAGGGGTGAAAGTAGAGATCCCATCTGTAGTTCAAATATTTGCTCATAGAAATTCCCGTTGAAAGTAAAATATGTGGTACTTACTGTCAAGTTAATTAGTCATGTTAACGACTCCTTCCGCATCCGCTCTGCTTTCAGGATATCCTCTTCCAGCAGGGCAGTGACTGCCTTCTCGCCTAAGATATTCGTGTATAAAGAGTGAACGTCAAAGCTTACCAACATTTCCGTCCCTGCCAGTCCAATTTTTTGGATCCTTTGAGAAAAATCATAGGAATTCTTTAAGGTGTTCAAGTGTCTATAGTTTACTTTCTTAAGCTTCAAGAATAAGAATATCATTAGCTTTTGTCAAGCATGGAGCAACACGCAAACTAACGAAATTTAAATTAACTTCACAATGGAGGTGGATGGAGAGATACCACAAGTGGCTAGCAGAAAAATGGTAAAAAGATCGATTTTGCTTGTCTATTTGACGAGTCATAGTGTGGTACTAACAATAACAAGGCTCACTGACGATGCCGGCGAAACGTCTGGGAATGTATTAAGTCCACGAGTCGACTCTGTAAATTATAATGCATATTATGGACTCCAGACAAAATGCGTCTCTCTAGCTCTTCTTATTAATATGACCCATTTGCGAAAACAATGCCAAACAATTAGTGATCTATCTTGTTACGAGGATTCATGCTCAAAATCGCATTATTATAAAGCCGAACAGTGATATGCCTTATTAAAGGCATTCTAGATGCTAAGTTTTCAATTTGGCATACATAGACATTCATGCTAGTAACTGAAGTGAAAAGTATAATAACTTGTCACTTTGACAAGAACGAAGAGTAACTGGGTTTTGATGAATCGCCTGAAATAACGCTGTTGAGGAGACCTCCATTCCGTATGAAAGTGCATAGAGAATAGATTCGTAGAAGGTATGAAGACCAAGATGGTGTGGCCTTTTGTGTGGTCGCAGTCTCCTCTAATTATATAGAAGTTGTTTGACCCTGTTTTCGCAGCTCAGTCATATTGGTAGGAAGACTTAGAGGAACGCACCTTGTCCGGAGTCCATTGTATGCATCACCATTTCCAGAGTTGGACCGTGGACGTGGACAAGGTGTGTTCCTCTAAGTCTTCCTACCAATATGACCGAGTTGCAAAAACAAGGTCAAACAACTTCAATAGATTCGTAAGCTGAGCTCACCAGAGGATGACAGCTGATTTTCATTTTGCCTTATTACTAGGTTCAGGTTGATGCAGTCCACGAGACATTTTTCCTAGTTTCGGGTGAAAATGGGCTTAGCTTTGGTCCATCATATAATGGACATCATCAGTGCTGGAGTTTATTCTTGTAAAAGTCTCAAGTTAGCACTAGGTCAAGAAGACCATCCGGCTCTAGCTTGCATCTTATATATACTGACAAATAAAGACGAATGGTTTGACTAATTATCTTTCATACGGGTCTTGCTACTTTTGCTCAAGTGTGTTAGCGTATATGCGCAATACCGGTCCTAAATCAGAGTAATCAAAAAGCCTAATGTTAGGCTCTGGACACCAAGACCTGATTATTCAATAAAAAGCCCTGACCGAGATTGCGTAAGTCCATAAGCAAGTATAGTTGTTATAATGAGATCTAAGATTGTAAGCGTGTAGGTCAGGTTACGAAACCACTTATCTTGGCCTCTTAATCTAGGATCATTAAGGTTTAGCCATACAAGGAAAGGCATGAGTGGGGCTGTGCGACCTCGTGCGCATAGTTAGGTTGATGAGCTAAATCTAACATGTTAAACGAGTGTGAGTGGATTTAGAACCAAGAGGGGGAAAAAGTTGAGTAGCCGTCTTTTATGTAATTTTTATAAAAAGTTAATACGAATAATAACTAGGTTTTGATGAATTTCCTAAGATAATCTTGTTGGAGAGACTTTCATTTCTTATGAAAAGGCATAACGAAGAGATTCTTAGGTCAATCTCATCAAGTGAAGACGATGACTGTTTCCCATTATACTGCAGCCATTTTGCTTTAATGCCACATCTACGTGGACGCAATCCATGAGATATCTTCCCTCGTTTCGGGTAAAAAAGGCTATGCTTTCGTTCATCATATCATGGACATCATCAACTCTTGTAAAGTCTCATATTAACTCTAGGTTAAGACGACTACCAGGTTTTATCTGAAGCCTCACTAGATTTAATGTACTCATAACTAAAAGTGAAAATGTATAAATATATGTAGAATGGTTTATCCAATTCCCTTTCATATTTGTCATGGTAGTTAAACTTTAGTGTGTGTAGACTAAGGAAGAATTTATTAATCAATTTATCCAGTTTAACTCTGGAGGATAATGTTGATCTTGTATTGGAAAAAGGATTGAATTTTGCTCTTCCAAGTAATCTAAACCATTCTCCATACAAACGTGTGAATTAATTAGATTATCTGATGGTCTGGAGAGGTAAATAATAGTATTAAGTTGGAATTAATTCATTATTTTTACCAAACAATCAGGTCAAAGCAGTCTTGAGTTTTCAATAGGGTTTCTGGATATTCAAGTCGCAATAACTTGATTGTTATAAAAGCCGACAAAGGTTGAATATTGAGAGTAATGTTTAGGTCAAGTTATGTAAAAAAAAGGCTAGCTCATTTAAATGAGACTGACACGTAAATGCTTTAATAAGATCCAATAAAGACTTAAGACTATGCTGAAGGATATCCTTAAGATATGCGTTTGTAATGATGAAAGGAAGAAGAATAAAATGAATTAATTGCTCCATAGAGATGCA